TTGTGTGCAGAATCCTTGAATTATAGTTCATTGATGTGTTATTTTGAAATCAGTGATGTGTTTATCTCATTTGATCTTCAATGTCATTGTTGGGAGTAAGTACATAAGCTTCAGACGCATTAATTAATGGATTTCTACTGCTTGTGGGTATTTTCTTAGCGTGAGGAAGGCTTACGAATTTCAGCTGTTCCGACAGGAGTTGAGAATATTAACTGCTCAGCAACATTATGGATATAAGTTTGTCACATTATCTAAGGAAAGGTGGGTTGCAGTTGGTGAGGGATATATGGTGCCCAACGAGCGTTCATCTGTCCATGTGATGTTGTGGTGAGTTATACCTTCATCATGTTGTCGGTTTATGTCCATTTTATTCCAATTATTGTGTTGGGTAGTAGTTTCACAAACGAGATTTCTTGTCTGTTTGAGGATACGCATCTTAACCGTTAATGTTTTATCTAGAGTTATAAATATAGGCAAAAAACAACAGGTGTAGTATTTAAGCTTATACATTAAATGGACCTATAATTTCGGAGGCTCTCAGATAGGAACTAGAACTACTATCGTTTGCGAACTCTTGTAGTTTGTCATTAAGCACCTTTTTGAAGGAGGCCAATTTACTTGCTTGACGCATTTCCATTGGTAGTTTATTCCATATCTGTGCATACCTAATCAAGTAAAACTTTTGCCTGGTGGCTGTTTTACATTGTTCGATAGCTACTGTACTCTCAGTGTGTCGTAGTTTGTAGCCATTGTCATCTGAAAGTCGAGTGCCATTAGTAGAGGTAAAAACTAAGTGGTTTAGAAGCTTATAGTAAAGAGTCAAGTTTAGTCTCAGGCGTCTTAGCCATAGTGTTTCTAGTCCTAGGGTACCACATCTAGTGGAGTAGTTCGCACCATTTTCGGTTCCGAGTAATTTTAACGTGAAGTACCTCTGCACTCCCTCGACTTTCAATTTGTCCTCTATGCGTATAATACTATACATGAATGAACAGTAATCAAATAGAGGACGCACACAAACCTTGTACAACAGAATTCTAGACTCATTTCTGTAGAAGTTCCTGAGTAGAAAGCCGATAAGTCTGCGTAACTTTGACACTTGTTTGGAGATATGTTCAGAAAATGATAAGTTATGTGAATATATCAGTCCTAGGTCTAGTGCAGATTTCAATCGTAGAAGTGCATGGCCTTGAGTTGTTAGGTCGAGTTCTAAATTGTTGCAACCTATGCAGAGCCAGCCACATTTTTCGACATTAAATTAGAGTTGCCAGGTGTCACACCATCTATCCATTTTTTCTAATTCTTGCTGTATGGCGTTACTGTTATTCCAAGATCTGTGTTCTTGCATTTATACGTCACTTTTAAGTCATCTGCATATAGTATTGGTTCACCTACACTAAAGCATTCACAGATACTGTTTATATATATTATGAATAAGAGTGGGCCTAATACACTTCCCTGGATCACACCACTACTTACTGGTCTAGGCCTTGAGATTATCGAGCCAACTTTCGTTGTCTGACTTCGACCACAGAGAAGTGATTTTATCAAGCTCAGGAGAGGATCACATATCCCTAGTGAGCATAACCTGCTGACTAGCAGATTATGGGGAACTCTGTCGAAGGCTTTTGTTATATCGAAATATAGTACAATTACTAGTTCTCTGTTGTCCCTACTTCGTGTAACTTCGCTGAAAAAGTCTATGTGACAGGTCACACATGATCTCTTTTTGAGAAATCCGTGTCGTGATGGATTGATAAGTTCATGTTCTAGTAAGTTGTCTGACACTTGGTCTTTAACCACTTTCTCCATTATTCGGGATATTACCGGTGTTATATTGATAGGTCTATAGTTGCACGCACTGGTTTTGGCCCCTGCTTTGTGCTTAGGTAATATGTATGTGGTTTTCCACATTTCAGGATAAGTTCCAGTTTCCAACGAGAGAGTAAATATTCTAAGTAACAAGACTACCATTTCCGTGCTACCATTTTTGTACATGACAGATGGTATGTCATCTGTTCCAGTACTGCCATTAGACTTCAATGTCTTAATCGCTGAGTCTATATTTTGTATATTAAAGTCTATTTCGCCTAATTTGTGGTTACTTTTGCAGGTCATTTGGAAATTTTGGGTCGGGTGCACTCTGGCGTCGTTGCAAAACCACTCACTGAGGAGTTCACTTATAACCTGGGGATCATTGTATATTATACCCTTATGCTCCAAGCTGCTTACAGTATTGTCTTTACTGCTTTTTAGACGTTTCTGCAATATCCTACAAAGTTCCTGAGTTTTGGAGTTGCCCAAAAGCGCTTTATTTTCTTCAAGTTGTGACCTCATTTTGTGTTTCTCTTCAAGCAGTTTAAGAGTTTCATATATTTGGTTTAACGCACTAAATTCCTTAAATACATGGTATTTCCTTTTCAATTTCTTTAGTTTTAGTCGCGTTTCGCGGTCTATAAATGGAGTTGGTGTCTTTAGAGCAGATTTTAGGGGCGCGATTATGTCTCTTGCTGAGCCAATTGTTTTGTAGAAAATATCAAGTGATACTTATTTACAGATATCCGGTAATATCAGTCAACTTGGTTGCAGCAATTCAACATGGGCGAAATAATTACGAAAAACAACTGTGTAAAGACATTTGCTTATTTTTTTTCATTAAATAGATTTAACATCCTGCTTACAATACTTTTCTCATTCTATCTGAGTGAAACTAAGTTTTTTTTTGCTTGACGATGCAGATGTGAGACTTATCAATGATTCTTGATGATTTATTTGACTGCATAATTAAACGTAAGCGAAATGTTACTACGACTGCTACAGCTCAACCTACTTATTTATTCGTTATGTGTAAACTTAATTTTACAGTATACGTTAAAACCCGTTATCATAGGGACTGCCATAACGCTTTAATTTAAATATTAGTAATACACTGATTTGGAAAACACCTAACCGTATACGAACTGGAACTGCAATGCAGTGCCTAAGTTGTACCTATTGTTGTCATTGTTCCCTATAGACTTGAGTATGACTATGAGACGTTTTCACGTAACTGTAGACAAAGACTTAAGGGCCACTAAACTACTTATAATTCACCACGCATATCGGTCGATAGTGTTCCTACAGAATTACACATAAGTATAGTAACGAGTTCAAGTCCTAGGGAGCACCGGTCTAGCATGCCGTGCTCACAAAGCGAACACATGAATTGAAAGACAACAAGATCTATGTGAAAAGTTCACATTTATTATAAGACAACATTAGTTTGTTTACATATTAAGAAAATGGTCCATTTGTGCGATTACTTCTCCCGCTTTCAGATGCGCACGAGTTGCGAGACCATGTCCATCGTTGACACTTATGCAGCACATTATTAACTACAAAAGGTGGAAGAGTAAACAAAAATAGAATTATGCACACAATATTACAGTATAAATAATGCTCTCACTCGCATTGGCTACCTGCAATAAGCTAAAAAGGCTTTGTCAATTAGTATCCATCTGTCTCACGACTGTTTCATATAATTCCGTAGAAAAAGCAACATTGAAATACATCACTGAGCAATATCCACCAATAAAACGCTACACGTATAACCTAAAATCGAGAAAAGCCAAGGAACTCACGGGTTCCTTGACATCGCCAGCAACCGATAGGCCAACAAACCGAGTGTATGATAAACCAAGCCTTGTACATGCACAAATTAAGTAAAAGAAAACGTTAGAATACTCAAATTTTACATTTATTTTCATCAAATAGGCTTGTAAACAACGCATACCTCAACCACACAAATCTGCACACGACATCACCTAACAAGGACAAATTAAATATCAAATTAGCCACCACTGTTCCAGCCAATGAAAGACGAGAAAACCTGAGGCGCGGAAAAAATTAAACACGTCATAGCCTATATCCTCACCCCCCTTACAAGGTTACTTTTGCAATTCGAGGAGGATAGTGTCTTTCAGTATTGCCTGGACTTAGGCTTGCTTCGAAAGGAGAGAAGTTGTTCGTGTGGTGGTGTAATGACTCTAAAAGGCTACACTAGGTCAACTGATGGTTTTGTACATCGTTGTGGAATATGCTGGAAGCGAGTTATTATTACAGAGGGTAATATTTCTTAGGAAATTTTTTGCTAGGTCGCATCTCTCCCCAACGCAGATTTTGCACATTTGCAATTACTGGGTACTAAAACAGCCCGTGAGAGCCGCTGCTTCCGAGACGGAGAACAGCCTCGTCTCAACAGTTCAGTGGTATACCACTGGTATACCAGCACTGCAGGGACATCGCCTCATGGAAAATGGACAGAATTATTTCGTTATTAGGCTGGGACGACGTAGTAGTCCATGTGGATGAGACAGTGTTTGTGAAGAAGAAATATAACCACTGTCGTCAGAGAGCGAACAACATTTAAGTCAAAGGTTTATACGACACGTCCCTCCGAAAAAGATTTGTTTAAAGAAAAGCAGACAGGAAGGCGACTACTGTGGTACCTATTATAAAGCGACTTGTGAAACCAGGATCAATTGTACATATCGACGAGTGGAAAGGCTATGATTCATTGTCATCCCTGGGATACATTCATCACAGAGTGAGCCACTCCAGTGATTTCGTGGATCCAGTTACAGCGACTCATACAAATTCCACTGAAGGATTTTGGGGTCGATTGAAAAATAGAATAAGGGCTATAAATGGATCTCAAAAGGATCTCATTTATAGTCATTTAGATGAATATATGTATCGAATGTGGTGCGACTTCTCTGTTAACAGTTCCATGCTGAATTGGGATATGTTTCACTCCCATGTTCGGGAAAGATACCCATTGTAACCGTTTTATCATTTTTTGTGCATTTTTCTATAAATATACGTTTCCGCATATCATAAACGCCTCTTTCATGTGATTCGTTCGTTCAAGGTCGTTTGCTGATTGGCTGTTACTGGTGTCGAAAGTTTAACTTTTCCGACTTTTGTATATATAGAGTGCGCGCCCCATAATTTCGGCGCGAATACTGCCTCAGATACAAACGAGTTGATTGTGTTAATTGGTGAGTCACATAATTTGGAGAATAGTGAGTAGTGGGTAAATGCCAAGTCCTCCCTATCAACCTATTTTCCATACAGAAATCAAACATTAAACCTAAGTGAAACTTGCAAAGATTATTATGAACATCGTTCATTCATAATGCTGAGCTATCTGATGAAGGTCATTTGACTTTGGTGTCTATTGTTTACTCCTGCCATATTTATTAAAAGAAATTCCATCGGAACATATGTATTATGGCTTACGTGCATATATATATATTATATATATATATATGTATATATATCAGATATGCATATACTCTGTCGCCAATTAATTAATGTATAGTTTAAACAGCTGTTTAGACTGACAAATTTTTGACACTTTTCAAATGTTTTTTTCTTGAGAAACAGTATTCCATAAGTATTTTATGGTTTCTAGTGTTTTTTGATGGAAACTCAAACATTGATAGATTCGCAAGCTAGCAGCTAGCAATGACTTCGGGCGCATTGCAGAATGTTCAGGGCTGGCTCAGGGGCCTTGTCTCATGTCTAGGTGTGCGCCCGAAAAAAATGCTAGCTGGGGAAATGCTTTGAAACATTTAATATTTTGCAAGATGTTCTTCATGTATTTGTTTTAAATCCATGAATACGAGTTGGATAAGTATTCATGGAAACCAACAACGTGCTCACTGAATAAAGACCTTGGGACGCAGCATTCTTCGTGGTGATTATCTTTGATGAAATTTCGCGTTGATTTTCACATATATATGTCACTGCTTATTATTACCTTGTGTGCGCGCTTCGAAAAAGAGAGTGGCATTTTTTACGTTGTGAAGTAACTTCTCCTTTTGTTGTGTAAATCGCATCAGAAGCTTTTCATTAGTTGAAGTAGTGTCTATTTTTGTGCATTTTTGTGACTTTTTGTGTTTTTATATCTCTGTATTTAATAATAATAATAATAATAATCACTTTATTCCACAACAATAACAATTTACAGCATGGAATTTTCAGCGTTTCATTTTACATATTGCATTGGATTAGCTCTTTTTATAATTATATAAATGTATGAAATGTTAAAAATATTGATAATTAATAGGAAAAAATAAAAACCCCAACAAAATCACACCATTTCTAGGTCATAGTGAAATAACAAATAAATAATATAACAAATCACACATGCAATAATATGCATCATTACATTTTATAGTTTAGTTAATGATTTAAAAGTTGTAAAAGTTCTTTTCTGATATTCGTCTCTTCACACAATACACGTGCCAAATATGGTACGGTCGAATTTTTACATTTTTTAGTACGAGCATAAATGTTTATGAAATTTCTTCTGGTCTTACCCGAAGAGATAGAAGGAAACAAATGTGAATAAAGAGGATGTTCACTATCAGACAAAATAACTTTAGCTAAGTGTTTACAAGAATTCATGTGCCTATTGACAACAGTGTCGGTTAGTTGAGTCAAAGGGATAGCACTGACCCTACTTACAGCCTTCAATGTTCTTCGTAGTATTATATGGTCTTTCTTGAGTAGCCCAGGGAAGAATAATGGAGAACAAAAAAGAATGATGGGCAGAGCACATGAATTAATAAATTGTATGAGAAGAGACTGGGTTATACCTGAGTGCCTCAACTTCTTTATGTAATAAGTCAGACAGAAAATCTTTTTAGAAACTATAAGAATATGAGACGACCAGCAAAGGTTTAAAGAGAAACTAATGTCAAGATAAGAAACACTTGACTTACTCTCTATTTATATATATATATATATATTTGTGTGTAACTTAAGCAGCTTATACTGACATGAGTCCCACAAATAGTTGTGGACGACCGGACTGCCACTTTCCGGTGGAGGATGGGATGCAGTGTGATAACTGCAACCTATGGTTCCATAAAGTTTGTACTGGCTTATCACCATCAGCCTATAGGAGAAGCAGCAAGCCGTCATCTCCATGGATGTGCAAATTTTGTGCAAACTCGTTGGATGTCCTCATCCAAGAGGCCGTAGGACTTCTCATGTTGAAGAAGTTGCCAAAAACCTCTGATGAGGGGAGAAATGCAACATCTACTACAGATGTTATAAACGAGGACTCTGGCCTTAGTCATAAAACTGAGGCAGAACCACATCCCCTAGCTTCGAAAGAAGCAACAGAGGCGAAGTGTGCCCAGCAATCTGCAATAGCACGTAAAAAGTCCCGAAAACCTAGGAGGGCAAACAGTGCCAACATTGTAAGACAGCAGGGTGATACCACAGCGATGAAGCGTTGCGTGTCTGGTGAACGCACAGCTTCCAACTGCGGCGAGAGTAAAGTGGAACCATCTGATTCCACCTGGCTAGTGCCGAAGAGTAGGAAGCTCAAGAATCACAGGAAAGAGAAAAGTACTGTGGTTAGTGATTAGGTCTCAACGGCCGTAAACGCTGACAAGATTAAACCTTCGGACTCAAATTACAGTATAGTAATTTGGAATTTGGAGGAATCAAAGAAGGTAGATCCAGCTGCTCGACATGCTGACGATCTCGAAATAGTTAGCTCCATCATCCGTGAAATACTTCCGGAAAAAACGAATGGTGTCCACATAAGGAAAGTCATCAGAATCGGTAAACGAATCGCCGATGCAACGGAAAGTTCCCCACGACTGCTGAAGGTAGTACTGGGGAACGAGATGGAGAAAACTATTATTCTCAACAACGCATTCAAGATCACGAATAAAAAAAATGAGAATTAGGCCAGACTGGCCTTTGGAAGATAGAATTAGGAGAAGAGAAGCTGTGGCTGAATTAAAGGCCCGATTAGAAAAAGGTGAAAAAGATATCAAACTGTTGGGTTTTCGGGTAGTGAGGTCTCGGAAACCTATGTTACCCAGACCTCTGTTCATAAGTCGAGTTAACACATAGGTCTCTCAGTATGCTACACGAACGCTTGTAGTCTTAGGAATAAGCTTCCTGAACTAGGAGTGTTGACTGAGGAACTACAGCCGGATGTGATTGCTATCACCGAAACATGGTTGTTAATGGGTATAGACTTAACTCCACTCATACCTGGGTACATCTGCATTAGAGCAGACAGAGTAAGTAGCCGGAAAGGTGGGGGGGTCGCTCTATACATTCGAGATGGCATAGGAATTAGGTCAACGTTGTCGGAAGCTCATGACAGTGGCACCTGTGAAGCCGCAGGTTGTGTCATTAACTTGAACAAAGGCACTGTAACGATAGGGGTTATTTATAGAAGTCCTACCAGCCAAGCTGACAATTTCGTTATAAATCACCTCAGGACGTGGAGTAGAAAGAATAGGTGTCTAATAGTAGGTGATTTTAATGCCCCGCATATTAATTGGGAGGAATTAACATCAACTGCTTCGTACAATTGTTTCAACAGGGAACTAATACTGGCAGTACTTGAATGCGCACTTGTGCAGCATATGGATGCACCAACACGATACCATCCTGAACATGATCCGTCCACTCTAGACTTGGTGCTAACACACCAGAAGGAGGATGTTGGTAACATTAGGTGCCTGGCGCCGCTAGGCAGTAGTGATCACATAGTTATTACTTTTATGTTCAGGATCCAGGCCGTCATACATAGGTCAACAGCCGCTCGCCCAAACGTTTGAAAAGCGAATATACCTGCAATCCGAAATGCAGCAACCCTAGCTCACTGGTCTGTTAACACACACCAGACTGTCGAGGAGGCTTGGATGGGATTTAGGAATGCACTAGAGTGCGTCACTGCACCCTTTGTACCTTGGTCTACGCCTCGAAAATTATCTCATAAACCACCTTGGATAAGTAATGAAATAAGGAGGTTACTAAGAAAACGAAAGAACTTATGGGACCGGTTTGCTGTGACTGGGAGGGATGAGTTTCGGGTAGAATACCGCAAAGTTCGAAACCTTTACAAGTATGAGATTGACAAAAGTCGTATAGAGTATGAGAGACAGTTAGCACTGGATTGTGTGCATTATCCAAAAAGACTGTTCTCGTATATCAAACGTAGGACTAAAACTAGTGGTGGCATACCGTCCCTCATTAACAACACAGGAGAGGCTGCAGAATCAGACGAAACAAAAGCTGAGGAGCTCTCCGAATATTTCTGTGATGTTTTTTCGTCTAATCGTACCACCCAAGGGTGTAGCGAGGTAACTGGTGTAGCCCCTAAAATGCCCCCACTTGTGGTAGATGATGCAATGGTTCTGAAACTGCTGTCTAAGTTGAAGCCAGGTAAATCACCTGGACCAGACGGACTTCACCCTAGATTGCTAAGCTCCCTGGCGGATATAATATACATTCCACTTACGGAGATTTTTCAGATGTCTCTGACCCAGGCTAGGTTACCCAGAGACTGGAAAGATGCTTTTTATAAGCCCCATCTTCAAAGATGGGAATAGACAGTTAGTATATAACTACCGGCCTGTAAGTCTGACCTGCATTATAGCAAAGGTGTTAGAAAAACTCATAAGGGACCATCTCTTAGCTCATACGGAAAAACATGGCTTACTGGCAGTGGAACAGCATGGATTCCGACCAGGACGATCCTGCTTGACAAACTTACTGTTGGCTAGGGAAGATGGGGTCGAGGCCAGGGATAAAAACCATCTACTGGACGTTGTATTTATCGATCTTAGTAAAGCATTCGATAAGGTATCCCATTTAGGTCTTCTTAGTAAACTTAAACATTTTGGATTAGACCAACGCTTATGCGAGTGGTTTAGTGACTACCTGATGGATAGGAGGCAGAAGGTAAGGGTTAATGGTGTCCTGTCAGGGTGGAAAGCAGTACTAAGTGGAGTACCTCAGGGAACGGTACTTGGCCCCCTGCTATTCTTATTATACGTAAATGAAGTGCCAAAAATTCTTACCTCATCTTCCTTACTATTTGCGGACGATATTAAGATATGGAAAACCGTAAATAGTAACGATGATAGGTTGGTACTACAAAACGATCTAGACAAATTAACCGAATGGGCTAACATTTGGAGTCTGGAAATTAATTCCAAGAAAAGCGCGGTAATGC